GGGGGGGGGGGGGGGGGAGAGACCGGGCGGGCAGCTGCCACTAGACTGGGTGCTGGTGGCGGCGGCGAGAGGGAGCAAGGGGTGCTAGAGCGCACCTCGTCAAACGGCGCCATCGCCGCGGCGGCGGCGCCTGAGCCGTCGGCGGGTGGCGAGCCGCCCTCGCAGAGCAGCGCGGCGCCAAGCTCGGCGAGGGCCTCGGCGCGGCTGGGCGCGCGGATGCGCCCCGCCTCCACCTTCGCGGCCGCCTCCGCCTTGAGCTGCTCCAGCTGGTCAAGCAGCGCGCGCAGCGCCTCCACGCACGGCTCCGCCTCGAGCGGCGTGCCGTCGAGGTGCGGCAGCCGCGCCTCGAGCTCCTCGAGCGGCGCGTCCAGACCGCCCATCTCGCGTAGGGAGGACTCGTGCCGCGAGCGCAGCTTGGCCGTCACCTCGAGCGCCGTCTCGAGCCGCTCGCGGTTCGTGTCGAGCCTAACGTCGTGCGCACACGCCAACATGCGGGCGGGAAGAGGGCATGTGCAGTGTGCTCGTAGCACCGCGTGAGTACGAGGGCGGCGGGTGCAGTGAGTAGAACGGAAGTCGGCCGAATGCAGTGGAGTGCCGTGTCCTCTCGAGCGCTGGTTGGGAGACAAGAGTCCGTAGCCCGCTTCTAGGGCGACGAGAGACGGGGAGAGACGGGGAGAGATGGGGAGAGATGGGGGAGATCTTCCGCTTCTAGGGCGCCGAGCTGTGAGCGCGTGATGACGAGCGGCTGTGTTGTCTTGAGCGCGTGGAGCTGCGGGGAGGGAGAAGGGGTGGTGTGGAGGGAGGAAGGGGAGGAGGGAAAGAGGGGGGAGGTTTAGGCGGAGGCGGGGAGGGAGGGGGGAATGGAGACGACTTGAGGCGGCGGAGGGGGCGGAGGAAAAGGCGGAGCCAATGGAGGGGGCACCAAGGGCCGCGTCAGTCTTGGCTCGTCCGACAGCAGCGCCGCGTCCTTCTCCTCCTCCGCCTTGAGCACCTCGTTCGCCATGGTCGCCGCGCCGACCGCCTGTATGTGTACCCGGGTATCTGTGATATGTGTCATTTGTGGGGGGAGTGTGCGTGTGTGCGTGTGTGCGTGTGTGTGTGTGTGTGTGTGTGTGCGTGCGTGCGTGCGTGCGTGCGTGCGTGCGTGCGTGCGTGCGTGCGTGCGTGCGTGCGTGCGTGCGTGCGTGCGTGCGTGCGTGCGTGCGTGCGTGCGTGCGTGCGTGCGTGCGTGCGTGTGTGTGTGTGTGTGTGTGTGTGTGTGTGTGTGTGTGTGTGTGTGTGTGTGTTGTGTGCGTGTGCGTGCGTCCGTGTACATAGGTCACGCGCGTGGTGTCTCGTCCACACAGCGTGCACAGTACACATGACACGTCTCCTCCCTCTGTGCCACGCAATGTGCCTCCTTCTCGAGCGCCGTGCACGCGGAGAGCAGCTCTTCCAGCACGCCCACGCCGCCCGTCGCCTGCGCCTGCGGCCGCACATGCCGAGGACATGTCCTGGACGTGTCCCTCGGCGTGGCCTCGCGCCCGCCCGTCGCCGGCGCCTTTGCTATGGCGCGGACGAGTCGCGCCGGCAGCCGCTTGTCCGCCTCGCACGCCTCGAGTGCCTGAGGGACAGGTCTCGGACATGTCCGAGGGACAGGTCTCGGACATGTCTGAGGGACAGGTCTCGGAGGACATGTCTGAGGGACAGGTCTCGGACATGTCTGAGGGACAGGTCTCGGACATGTCGTGGACGGTTGCGGTGGGTCTGTGAAGTCCCGCTGAAGTGTCTCTGAAGTGTCTGTGAAGTGTCTGTGAAGTGTCTGTGAAGTGTCTGTGAAGTGTCTGTGAAGTGTCTGTGAAGTGTCTCTCAGGCGTGTGCGGAGTGTCTTGGAAGTGTCTCTGAAGTGTCTCTAGTGTCGCGGAAGCGTGTGTCTCGCCTGCGGCAGCTCGAGCTCCGCGAGAGCCTTCTGCGCCTTCTCGGCGTCCGAAGTGGTGCGGGTGGAGAGGTCATGCAGTTTGGCGTGTACCTGAAGGAGGAGGGGGAGGGGAGGAGTAAGGAGAGGAAGAAGAGGGCGAGGAGGGGGAGGAGAAGGAGGAGGAGGAG